TAAGCCTAGAACTACGACCGGTACAATAATAGGGTTAGATTTTCAATCTCGTAATGTCATTTTTGATGAACCAGAAACAGAACACTTTAAGACGACCAAAAAGTGTTTTTTAATAAAACTCGAGTAGTCTTCTTTATTAATTATTTTTATATATAATATACAAAAATATCTGTTGTTTCGAATAGCGTTTTGAACTGGCTCTCTAGCAATTTAACGGTAAAAAAGATATACCAAAAGCAAAATTCTCTGTTTATGTTTCGCCAACTCGGTACAAAGAAAATAATCACGTGTCGAAATGTTTTTTAGATGCCGTGCTGAGCCCGACATAATGGCATTCTTAAAAGTTTATAACTGTTTGCCAAATCAAGCCCCAAGATTATCATTTCATCTTCTTCAAGATTGGGATCGTTATCAAACATTCAAATTGCCTAAATTAAGGTACTTTTTATTATTCTTCATCGATACTAAGTCAAATTTTTACCTCAAATCATCAATCAGAACAAATGTTTACAATTTTCTAATGATAATAATGTTTAATTTGTTGTTGCGTGAAAAAAGAATATTTTTACTTCATTAACGTACTTATTTTTATGTTTTTTAGGTCATCTGAAAAAAATATACGATATTTTAAAGTACTAAGTAATCGGGTGGAACGAATGAGAGTTGCTCCAAGCAGTGAAATAGAGTTTCATTTACCACCAATTCAACAGAGAACTTGAATGTCTATTTTTTATTATCAAAAAATAAAATTGTATATTGTTTTTTTGCTTGTATTTTTAATTTATTATGAAAATATAATAAAAATTGAAGTAGAATTCAGCTTGTAAAAATTCTATTTTTATCTATGATATTATTTCTAGATTTTTGGTTGCACTATTTAATCATGCAAAACATCATTTTCTCTTTAATTTACTTAAACGACTATTAACAATGAGATTGACACATTTTCTTTGACTATTTAACGTACGTTGTTATTAACAGATTCAACAGTATTTACAAAATTCTAATTTACATATAATCATATTCTTTGAGATATCTCAATTATTTCTCATCCTTCCCCCTCCTCTCTTCTGTCTTTCATTTTACATAAGTGTAATATAGAAAAAACAATAATTTATTTATCTTTTTTCTCAAAGTTGTGTATCCTCATTATGATAAATATTATTATGTACAACAAGCAATTGACTATTCACTGTCTTTGTTATATTCTTATGATCATCGACTACGATAGTTCCATTTTTTTTTGAAATTAGATTTTTGTCATTATTTAAAGCAGTAACAATCGTTGTTGTACTATTTTTTGTTCGTGTTCCAAATAATTTTATACAACATGATAATGAAAAAAACATCACTCGTAATTCTTGTCGAAAAACATCGGCCGTTAAAAAATAGAGTAAAAAGTTAGCAGCTGTATTTGTATAATAAATTAATGAAAACATAATCCATAATGAGTCAAATTTTTCACTATGTGCATGAAATAAATGAGAAAAGGCCATAAATGTTGAGGCGGGTGCTGTTAATAAAATAAAAACACACGAAACAGATAATAACATAATTGTCATATTACGCTGTTTGGTTTTTTTCCGTTGATTTTTATTATTTATTCGTTGTTGAACACGTTTAGCTGATGCAATAACTTTTAAAATTAAAGAATTAAGAATTAACATAATAACAAATGGGCAAAGTGTAAAGAAAAACCATTGTAAATAACCAACTATATTTGAACGAAACCAAAGATATGTTGGATATTGTGAACTAATATTACATACAGTTTTTATATAGGTAATATTTTGTTTATTTATTCGTGGTACACTTTTTAATTCATAAAATATACCCCAATGTAATTGTATACAAAATGAAATAATAGCAATTAATGTTATAATTATATAAGCATTTTTCACTGTACAATGACGTTTAGAATAATGATGTTTGGCAATGGCTAAATATCGTTGAACACTAACAGCCACGAGTAATGTTGGAGATAAATTGATAAAATAGTAGGTAAAAAAAATATGTAATTTACATGCAATATTATGATATAAACGCATATTATTTTGTTCACTAATACGAACAAGATAAAAATTGAGTACACTAAAGAAAATATTGCCTAAAATTAGAAAAAAAAAAAGAAGAAATGAAAAGGAAATGAATAAGATGATTTTATCTTTTCCTAAAAAATATTTTTCTCAATTAATAAAAAAAAAGTAGAAGAAGAAGAGACTTATATGATTCTAAGACAATATTTACCAAGATCTGATAGTGCTAATGCAATCAAATATATACTTGTTACTTGTATACGAAGTTTTTTACGTGAAAGTGTTAAGGCACTTAATGTATTTCCAATAGTTCCAATTGCTATAAGTAATCCGCCAATAATTCTTACAATCCATTTTAATGCTAATGAACGATTATAATTAGTTAGACTTAATGTTGTTAATATTGATGATGAATCTAATAATGATGATGAATTCATTATATTTGAATTATTATTATTATTATTATTTGTAAAATCGTAATCGAATGTTGAATCAAACATTGTTATATTTTCCAATATATTTTCGAATAATATATCTTGAAATGACATGATGATAACGACAATGAGAAATGAAGAAAAAAAATAATAATAACAACAATAATACAAGAATATGATCATAGACGATATAATTCACCAGCAATTTTTGCAAATAAATTTGTTCATTTTTAAACAATTGATGATAATTTAACACTAAAGTGTGATGATAAAACTATAAATAAAAATAAAAGAAGAGTAAAATATATAATTAAATAAGGAAACAAAAACAATGGATGACACACTTCTTTTTTTTTTCAATTAATATATCCCATTAGTTTTACATCATTCACATATAAATTTTAATTCTAAATGATTTTATTCATCGATATTTATGTTAAAAAAAAATTAATATAGTAACATGAACAATATTACCTTTTTATCATTTTTAATGGGAACTGAAAAATACTGAACAGTGTAATAAAAAAAAACAAAAAAAAAAACAAAAAAAAAACTTTCTTTTGCCATGAAAAATTACGAAAGAAAATTGTAGACATTTTTTCACATGAAACGAGAAAGCGCGTCACTTGATTTCTTCTTTGCACGTTCAGAGTGGCTTCAAACACTTTTTTTTTTTTTGTTTTCCACTTTCTATTTATATTACAATTATGTTTTGATTAAGAAGACGGAAATTAAATTAATATGTTATTATTTCACCTGTATTAGGAAGAAACACAGTTTCTCTCATTCAATGACAGCATAGTTTCTTTTCAAGTCAACATTCAGTAGAGTTGTTATAAATTGAATTAAGCAATATATATGTCGATAGGGGATAAAATAAAGAATTAAATTAATTCTTAATAATTACACATCTTTCAACCCACACGGGAATAATACTCTTTTCTTTTTCTTCAATTCTGTAAAATATAATAATACACATACATTTTTTTTTATTAAAAATGGATTTTATTCGAAAAAAAAAAAAGAGTATATATTAAAACTATAGTATATAGATAATCTTACCAATGAGTATAAATAAAATACTAAATAAGCTGTTGATTATTTTGTTAATCTTCGAGAAGATTTTAAAAGTTAATCGAGTATAACGGGATTAATATTAAATTTTGACAAGTTTAGATAGTAATGAAATATATTCTTGTAAAAAAAAATTCTAAATAAATTAATAAAACTATATATAAAATAACTTCAAATAAATTTTTTATTTGAAAAAAATGCAATTTTAAATACTTTTATGCTTAGTTAAGTATGAAATATTTATGCACCTACTTAGTATAGAGAAAGTATATAATGACTAAATGAATCTAACTCATGTAAACTTTACACATTTATCGAGTAAAATTGTTTATAATAAACTCTTCTTTCTGTAAATGGATCCCAGAGGTTTAATTTAAGTTTTAAATCTTTTCATTATTACATTCTGAAACTTAAACTATCAAAATACAAAAGATCAATCGTTGTATGAAGCTAAGATCAAACACACGAACTGTAAAAATCAATTTTTGCTATTCTGTCGAAGTTCATTCTAATTCATTATAAAAAAAATTCTCCTGTCTACTTTTTTCCGATAGATCTATTTTCTCATTTTATTTCGTTACTGATTCTCACCTGTTTTTTGATCATAGAAGATTAGGAAAAAAGATCGTTAGATAGTTTCACAGTTGTACATATATGAAACTGGTCGTTGTTCTTCTGGAAATATTCACGTTAATTATTGAATAATAAATTTACAGAAGTTAAGTGAAATTATTTTTTAAGAACTCTTCTCATGGAGATAATTAATTTAAAACGTGATACTTTATATAAAGTATGCAGAAGTAGATCATATTTTTTCTTTATAATTATTCCTAATTGTAGAACAGTTCGAACCACTCCAGTATAAGGGCCATATCTAAGAAACTACAAAATATCTTTGGTTCTAGTTTTTAAAAATTCATTATGTCGATTTGGAAATGAGTTAATCTAAAAGTTTTTCAGAATCAACATAGCTGAAACTACTAGTTTGTCATGTTCAAGTATCAAGTAATCAGTAACGAGTAATCAGCTCAAACTATTGTCTTGTTTTTGAGAAAAAGTAGAGTAGAGCGTGAGTGTCTTCTAGTATAAAAATGAATTTTGGTATGAAGAGTTTTGCGTGGTTTGACTCTGATTTTAATTTAATACTTCTTTACTTGTTTGGCCTAACTTTGTGCCTAACTACCCTATAAGAGATCCGATAAATGAGCATATTCTTAAGAACTTTTACTATTTTTCTTAAGGAATTAACTAACAGTCATGTGATACTTAATAGCACGAATAGACGACGCATCCGCATTCATTTATTTCAAATAAATTTTAATTAATTAGTTCTAATAAAAGCGTACATACTTTCGACTACTGGTCTTTTATACTGTCTTTATTCGGCAATAATTAAGTCATAGATGCTAACAGTGGTGCTTAGTATATGTATTCAGTATACAAAGTAATGAATTAGTTAACAGATACTGTCTATCATCTATATATCAAAGTAATACTTAAGCCAAATCTGTTCAGTTAGCACGAAATACTTCAAATGAATCTAATAAAAAGGCTGAAAACACTGGTCTACCTTCTAAGTATCTTGTACTACCATTGCACTCATGAAACTTTCCTATGTTTTCTGACATTATTGATATGTAGTACTACCTAAGAATTGGAAGTTTTGCTTGGCTTATTGCCGAGTTTGTAGTTCCAGTTGCGAATCGTATTCTATTTTCTGACTAATTTGAATATCCAGATTGTTTCCTATAACAATCTATTTTCAGTATGTTTCTTCGTTCGCTATTTTTTTGTTGACAATGCTATATTTACTCACCGAAAATTTATTCTTCAAACACATCACAATGTTTTCTTTTGATCGATTGGATCAGAATATAATTTAATACAAACAATATTAGGGGTTATCATTGATAAAGGATGGAAAAACAGACAAGAAGAAGAAATACATAGTTGAAAAATTTTTCAAAAATATATCATCAAATGCCAAAAAATAATTATTTAAGAAATAATAAGAGTTTCTTATCAAAATACATTCATTCAATTACAATATCAACACTGATAAGAAGAGGATAATGACCATAAAAATTAACAATTATAGTGGCAAAGTTTCAGATTGTTGATTATTTAAATTATTATCAAATCATGATATTACGTATAAAACTATTAATAGATACATGGTAAACTAAGATTCGTTTGACCGTATAAATCCTATGTCATATGTCATAGCATATTTTCAAGATATGCAAGTAAAGAATGACATCTTAAATTGAATTCGGACATTTAATTAAAAATCACTCTATTAAATTCTGAAATATTTCTTAAAAGGATATTTAATGTGAATGTGACATTCTACTTCGAGAAAAAAACGGACTAACTATTATATTATGACTAGAGAAATATAACTACATACCTATGGTTGATGGAAGAAGATTAAAGAAGAGTATATTGAGCTTTAAAAGAAGAAAAATAGTATATATTTCACTTCTGTCAGCTTAGACAATTGAAGAAAAAAATAATACAACGATTTCAAGTAATTTGACTTGGTTAAAAAATATTAATACTTTAGTTAGTAATAATTATTCTGATAAATAAAGTTCAAAAATAAATTTTGTTAGTCATTTCAGACTCTACATGAAGCTATAAACATTAATCACTTTGAAAACAACAAGACTTTTTCTATTCTCAAGAATCTTTAAATGAAATAGTACTAAACATATATTGGATGTTCAAAAATATCTTTTCAGTTTTAAGTGCTAAATACAAAAGTTTTATAAATAATTATTGGTTTATACAAATAATTATATGTAATGATGCATTTTGATTGTAATCAACGTTAAATTTCTTCTTTTTTTTTTCTGTTTTATGTTTTCTCTTAATTCGCTCATCAATTCTTTTCAACAAATATCAAAGATTATTTATTTTCATATATGGATTTTATCTCTGTTAACACCCCTGATCATGTTGCTAAATGAACAAATATGCTGACGATACATACCACTCAAATACAACATTATATCTCTAAATTGTGAAATGACAAAGAAACAATATTGTAGAGAAATGTAGGGATACACACAATATTCTTCTTTTTTCACTGATTCAAATATATTTTATGATGAGTATGATGGTGACAATAGCTACAACCAAGGAAATCTCACAATCTTGTCTTTTCTTTCTCATGGTGTACAATAACAATAAACGAGATCACTATCATGAACAATGATTATTATTATTTGAACGAGAAAAAGAAGAAAACGCCCTATAATATAATTCTTAAAAGAAGAAAAAAAAAAAATTCCAAGCTTGAACAAAAGTATTAGAGATAAGAACCAACAAACATAGAGTCCAACGATGAAATGGAAAAAAGGTAAGTAAGCTTACAAATTTATCTATTTATATCGATTTCTTTTCTTTCAGTATTATTTATTACATACAATATTAAAAAAAAAAAAGAGAGAGTAGATTATTCTTTCATTCTCATCTCTTTTTAATCTATTTAAACCAATTAGGAGGGTGTAACTGAAAAAAAATCCAAACAAGTATTTCTCATAATTTCAACTCTCTGACTTGATGTGTAACTAAAATAAATACATGATGAATAACATTAAAAAAATCTACGGTCAGCTATAGGAAATCACTCTCTTTGAAAGAAAATATATTAAGAAAAAAAGATTTTTTTCTCACACATAATAATTATCTTTAATACTTATATTTAGACCATCTATTTTCAGAATCTCTTTCAAGTTTAGTACAGCAATCATTCAAACAAATTTCCCAAATCTCTGAATGTTGAAAAACATTAACCATTTTCTAAGAGAATCTATGAAATATTATCAACGGCTGACTCTACTCTTCAAAATAAGATATGAATCACTTCTAGACAATCTTTCGTTCAAGAGTAGTGGTTTTTTAGTATAAACCGAAGAAGTACGAAAGATATTATCATTTTCAATAGCGTTTTCATACATCTTAATAATTTTTTTATTTTTTTATTA